ACACACGAGAAGACCACGGGAGCGACTGCAACTTCGATCCATTGCAGCTCCGCAATCACGGGACATCCCGACGGCCCCAGGGCCCGCTACCTCAGCGCACCATCCCGCCACTGCGTCGCCGCACGCACCAAGCCCGCTCGCCGACGCGAGCGGCACCACGCCCCCGGCGCACCCCGGGTCCGGCGTTCAAGCCCGCCTCCACGGCGACACCGAGACCGTCTACGCCGCCGACGCTACCGACGAGCTCCTCTCTACGCGGCCGCCGACTCCGCGACGGGCCGGGTCCAGATTCCGCACTGACCCGTCTCGCTCTTCCACCACTTTCATCACGCGTGTTCGCCACGCCCTGGCTCACCCTGCGCGCTGCGGGGGAGCACAAGACACCACACACACAGGAGCACCCTACCCTGCCTTCACCATCGGCCTTACCGAGCCTCTACCGGCTCTACTGGTCCTCTCACACATTCCTAACATACTCTGTGTCTCTATGACTCATCTCCGCGACGAGCCTCGCGCGCGGACCATGGAACGGCCCTGTTAGGGCGCCCCCTTCCCCTCGTCGGCGGGTTCGACGACGACGGTCTGGCCCTGCTTGGGCTGCCCGAGCCCGTCGGGCGTCGTCGCGGCGACGTAGTAGGACGGGTCGTCGTCGCGCTCGTCGAAGACGACGTCCGCGCGCGTCGACGCCGCGCGGAGGAAGAGCGCGGCGTCGCGGCTCAGGTGGCGGAGGACGACCGTGAGGCCGAGGTCGCGGTACGCGTCGACCGCGTCGTTGATCGCGGCGATCGCCGACGCGTCGCAGACGCGGCACTGGAGGAAGTCGAGGACGACGACGCGCTTGACCCAGCGCCGCCGCCAGGACCGCGCGTAGGCCCGGTCGCGGTCCGTCGGCGCGGCGTGGTCCTTGAAGGCCGCCGCCGAGCCGAAGAAGAGCGTGCCGTGGAGGTCGACGGTGCGGACGCCGAGCGCGGCCTCGTGGGAGCTGTAGAGGTCGTTCGCCGAGTCGTAGGCGAAGCGGACGCACGTCGCGACGATTCCGCTCGCCACGGCGAGCGCGAGGCCCCGCGTCGCCGTCAGCGCGGACACGAGGAGGATCGTCGCCGCGTCCGCGGCGCGGCACCGCCCCAGGAGCCGCAGGCTCGACCAGGAGAAGGTGTGCTTGGCCACCGCGAGCATGAGCCCGACGAGCGCCGCCACGGGCAGCGCGCCGAGGAGCGCGCCCCCGGCGGCGAGCGCGCCGAAGACGAAGGCGACGTAGAAGACGGCCGAAGCGCGCGCGGCGCCGCCGGAGCTCAGGTTCACGAGCGACTGGCCCAGCAGCCCGCAGCCGCCCATGCCGCCGCATAGACCCGCGACGACGTTGCCCGCGCCGAGCGCGCGGCACTCGCGCGACGCGCGGCCGCGGCCGTCGGGGCCGTCGCGCGTGAGGCCGTCGACGAGCTGCAGCGTCAGCAGCGACTGGAGCAACCCGACGGCCGCGAGTTCGACGGCGCAGGGCAGCGCCGCCGCGACGAGCGCCCGCGACGGCGCGCGCCCGAGCCAGGGGACCGCCGCGCGCGCGTCGTAGCGGGGCAGGAACGCCACGCGGAGCGACTCGGCGCCGCCGTCGAAGGCGCCGACGACGTCCGCGAGGAGCGGCACGGGCATTTCGCGCCACCGGGCGAGCGCGGAGCAGAGGCCCATGGCCAGGAGCGGCGCCGGGCAGAAGCGCGTGAGCCTCGCGGGCGCGCCCTCGATGACGGCGAAGCTCAGCGCGACGAGCGCGCCGTGGCAGAGCAGCGGGACGCCCGCGAGCCACGTGCCGTGCGGGAACCTGCGGCGGCGCGCGCGCGTCCGCGCCGCGGCTCCCCGGCCGGGAAGGGGGTCTCGTTCGCGGCCCGAAACGTAGGCGGACGCCGGCCGCCGGGCTGGAAGTGGTCGACCTGAGCCCGGAGCACCTTGACCGCGAGGCCGTTGACGAAGCCCAGCACGACGGGCTGCGGCACCATGCGGACGAGGCGCCCGCCCTTGAGCAGCCCCGCGGCGAGCTGGAACAGCCCGGCCACGAAGACGGCGACGCGCATGGCCTCGACGCCGTGCGACTCGACGAGCGGCTTGAGCACGAGCGCGCACGTCGCCGACGCGCCCGAGACCATGCCCGGCCGGCCGCCGAAGACCGCGCACGACGCCCCGACGGCGACCGTCGAGCCGAGGCCGACGAGGGGGTGCGCGCCGGCGATGAGCGCGAACTGCGACGCCTCGGGCACGACGGCGACGGCCGACGCGAGGCCCGCGAGCGCGTTGCCGGCGAGGTCCCGCCGGTCCTCGCGCGCGCTCAGCAGCAGGTCGCGCACCTCGGACACGCTCGCCTCGAGCGACCGCGCCGCGCGCCGCGTCGCGCGCGTCCACATCTTCTTGCGCCGCCGCCGCGACGGCCAGCGCAGGCGCCGCCGCCGCGGCAGGGCGCCGGCGGCGGCCGCCAGCGCGAGGAGGAGGAGGACTCGTCTGCGGCGCATGGTTGATGGCCTGCACTTGCTGCGCCCGCTTGTCTGATGGACTGCACTTGCGTGTCGCTTCGAGCGGGTGTTTGTGAGCGCGAAGACAAGCGATTGATGCGAGCGCTGCTTGTTTTAGGTGCGCAGTGAGGTTACGGGCGGCTCAGCTCGAAGTCGGGTCCATCGCACCGAGGTTCAATCTGAGGTAAATCAAATACTTGAAGCAAGCTCTGTGGCAAAAAAGACGAACATGGGGTCATCCCCGAGGCAATCGTGGGACGGCGTCGCCGCGTCCCTCCGGCGGACCAACGCGCACGTCGAGAGCACGTTCGGCGCCGTCGTGCGCGAGAACGCGTCGCTCAACGCGCAGCGCTACGCGCAGGACGCGGCCATGGCCGAGATGCGGTGCGAGCTGGCGCGGCTGCGGTCCGAGGCCGCGGACGTGCTCGGCCGGCGCGAGGTCATGGAGGAGGCCGGGCGCCTCGAGAAGCGCGTCGCCGGGCTCCAGCGGGAGCTCAGCGCGAGCAACGCCGCGGAGCGCGCGCTGCAGGAGGAGCGCGTCGCGCTCGCGGACGCGCTCCACGGCCGCGGGCGCGCGCTCGAGCGCGCGGCCGCGGCCCTCGACGCGTCGCGCGCGTCCGAGGCGGCCCTCGGCGCCTTACGGGCCGAGGGCGCCGCCGACGTGCGCACGCTGCGCCGCGAGCTCGAGCTCCGGACCGCGGCCGAGGCGCGGTGCCGCGAGGAGGGCGGCCTGCTGCGCGCGCAGAACGACGACCTCGTGACGCGCCTCGTCGCGGACAAGCAGCGCCTCGTCGGCGAGATGAACGGCATGAACGACATCATCGACCGGCTGAAGCGCGAGCTCGAGCTCCGCGCCGAGGAGGCGCCGCCGGCGCCGACCTGTGTGGAAACCAACTTGGGTGCCTGACCAAACTTCAGAATTCTCTAGCTCGGTCAAATCGAAGTCGATTCGGCTGATTTTTGGACGGATCGATCGCTCTCGTCGAGTTCTCGA